AGGCTAGCTCCTTCAGACCTCTCTGTTCTCGTTTTAGAGCAGCGGACCTTGAGGATGATGTAACTGAGTGAGTTAAAGGTATGTGACATCGTCTCATATCGATCCTCCTGTAGATATCTAGATATCTGCAAATATTAAATGGAGAGAGGGTAAACAATATTCATTTAATATTGTTTCTGTGGCGACACAAATGTCTTAATATTAAATAATTAAGTAGAGGAAGAAGAGAAGACGCCAGTGGAGGTTTGAATGTTTCTCTTGTTAAGGTCAACGGGAGTCAAGTGGGTGAGCGAGCCAATTAGATCAGAGGATGAATGTATGTGTGTAATTGTATGAATACATTAATGTGTGTTCTTCCCTCCTCGTTAAACTGAACACGACAGCAGCAGGAGGAATCTCCTCTTCCTCCTCCTCCTCTTCCTCCTCCTCCTCCTCCGTTTATCTACCTGAGAAGAAGCAGACAGTTTTAATGAGCTGTCACAGCTTCATCATTCAGCTCAGAGGGAAACACGTTTAAACTAAATTAGCAGCTCAGAGGGTTCCTCTCTGAAATCTGTTCAAGAACAGACAGCGAGGAGCAGCCAGCACAGGTTCCTCCAAAATAAAAGCCTTTAACCCTTTCAGACTAAAAGTCATTCAATGAGGAACTACAGAATGGACGGTACTTATATAACACTTCTCCACCTGAAGACTTTATCAGTGTTAGCTGCCGTTAGCAGAAACAACTGTTTTAAAATGTGTTTCTGTTGAGTATTGATGGAGCCAATCATAAGAAATGAATTCAGGATGTTCAAAAACAAACATGGACTTAAATTAGAAGTATATATAATTAAATACTGCTGAGCTTCACTCAGTGTCATGTTTGTTTCCTGCTCCTCATCCTCCTGTTCTACTGCTGATCATCTCCCCTGAGGTCACCGACCCTCCAAACTCATCTCTGAGCCGCTGACAGGGGGCCCAACCTCTGGCCCCCGGACTGATTGAAGGGCCGCCCGGTCGAGAAACGCCAGAGAATAACAAACGGAGAGGATGATGAATGTGCTCCTTCAGCTCCTCCATCACGACACTACAACCTAGCACCTCAGTTCAACCTGCTGCAGCAGCCAATCAGACGTCCACATTTAGACCGGAGCCACAGCGCCCATCGACTGATACCAGAGACGGTGTGTGTGTGTGTGTGTGTGTGTGTGTGAGTGAGTGTGAGTGTGTGTGAGTGTGTGTGTGTGTGTGTGTGTGTG